TGAACCTATACATCAAGTTATTCTGTTCACCACTTCGCAATTTTATACTTCACAGCTTGTATTAGTCAGAGATATACCAGCCAAGTTGGAAACAATTTTAATGATGTAAAAATGCATTTTCCTGATTTCCCTGTTGGCTTTTAAAAATCTAACTGACTAAAATGCTTTTCTGTCATGAAATTTTAATGAGATTCTCGCATTTTATGATTGAAGGCACATAATAAAAAGTTGTTAACAAAGGAAGCTATGATATATTAATCCTGTTATTTTAAAATCTGCATGTGGATAGCACTAGAGAGCAAAATATCACAAGAAATTTTTTTTTTATGATATTTTATGTGATACAGATACTAAGCAAAATGATAAGATAGATCGCAAATAAATTTTAATTCCATTCACATTATTCATTCATCAATGGATTTAAAATTGTGATGCATATTGACTCTTGGATTTTTTACATTGAACTCTCTTTGATGACAGCTGGCACCAGATTTTTTCATTATTAGCATTATTAGTGTAGCCTAGAATTATCTCAAGATGAAATGACATATCTTATTAAGCTAACAAAGACATCAATGGCAGCTAATATCCTGATAAATTTTACTAGGACAGCATCATCAGCTTACAAAAGAAAGCAAGTTTACTTGATGAGTCTCTGCCGCTCCCATGTTACCCATAGAACATTGTGATTGTCAGCAAATATTTTTGTTTAGAATCGATACATATGTCAAGCAGTATATAAGCAAATGGCATTAATAGGTAATTTAAGGTGATAGTACGTCTTAGAATGAACATAAAATTTAAGTTCTCAAGAATGGTCAATATGAGTATATATTCACTTACCTGGTGTCATAAAGTTACAACAGAATCACCTGTAAAATCTGGAAAATTGGAAAATTCATAAAACTAAGTAATTATTAATCTTAATACTAAGCGTTTTTCAATAGTTAATTGTATATTTATGAATAATTACTAAGTTTTTTGGATTTATCGGATTATATAAGGATCCTGTTATGTTATTTATGACACCAGGTATATCTACTGATGAATATATGCTCTTATTGACCAAGTTTAATATTCTTAAATTTTATGTTCATTTTAAGACGTAAGATTCCTTTAAAAGGACAGCATGCACCCATTTTCAGTGTTTTTCTTGAAATATTTATAGCTTAGTCCTTATCAATATTAATGTTCAGAAAACAAGGATTACTCCTTCTGACATGAATGGAAAAATTGAAATGAACATCACAAAACCAAAACCAAACCAAAACTGATATATTGTTCAACAATGGGACATAAGATTATTGTCTGAGCAAAGTAAAAAGTTTTTTGAATTTTTTCTATTATTTTTATGAGGATTTGGATAGCACCCTCAAAATAGTAGTGTTAGTCTTAAAACATTAATGATAAAAATATAATCATAAGCACACATAAAGTCTTCAAAATTTGTTTTTACAGAGGACAATTTCTGGCTCATTTTTTATGACTTTTTGGGCTTGAAATTGCTAGGAGGGAAATGGGTTTCTTTTCAATGTAAACTTACAAACGATTATATTTTTATCAATGCAACAACATTCTAAGACTATCAGTATTATTTTGCGACTGATATTCCTATTCCTTTAAAAAATATCGAAAAAAAATTCAAAAAACTTTTTAATTTTCTAAGACAATAAGTTTTTTAATGCCTAGTTCACACCAACGGCGAATGCTGCGCTTTAAATCGGCGAGCAAAGGGCCATCATTTTTTGTTTACTTTTCCAAAAATATCACGATCTCCTTAGTAATGTTAAGCTAAGCTTTGCTCAAAGCTTTCCAACGATCTATTACTACCCTGGCGCTTTAGTCGAACTTTGTTAAGCTTTGTTCGCCGCTTTAAAGCGCGATCAAAGCGCCGTTGGTGTGAACTGAGCCTACGCTAGCCCAAAGAGCCCCTTTAAATTCCACAAAGACAACATTTTCTACAGCTTCATTAAAGAAAGACATTTTTTAATTGTAATCAAGAAAAAAGAAACATCTAATTAGCTGTAGCCTGTTATCTTTCACAAATTACTAGCAAATAAATAACTAACAAATATAAAAAAAACTTGACTTGATTTAATGAGGTAACATTACCTGAATTTTATTGAATCTTTCATATAAAATCCAAGAGATATTCCTCCATTAAAAAATCCTTAATTAATAAAAAGACATAGAGAGATAATCCTAAAATATTAGCATACAAAACTCTGCAGATGCAAGGAGGTATTTCAAGGAGAAATTTAACTTGACTTGCCTAAGAATTATTGCTTGCTTCCATCCTAGAAAATTGATGTGTGTACCATCCTGCCTTTCAATGGATTAGAAATTGAGCACCACTTTCATCATGTAAAAAAGCACTCAGCATTTTGGTGGGTGGGGGGGTGGTGCACCCTGATTTGAGTCAGAAGTGCTAGAAATATACGAAAATGAAAATTGCACAATTCCTTCAAAAATATCTAAAACTATGAAATTTCTTTTCGTATTTCTATATAAAAACGAAACATCCATTTTAAGTTTCATCAAAATCAGTCGAAAACTAAGAGAGTAATAACATATTCAAGATTTTGGGGCAAGGGCAATAACTCTGCTTCTAACGGTCGAAAATAGCTCAAATTCGAACTTGATCTGTGTTTAATGAATATGTATACACATACTGATTTTCATTTGATTCCATTAAAAAATCTAGACCGTTTACAAGCAAATATTGACAGACTGACGAATGGACAAGGGGTGCCGACAATATACGTCCACATAGAGAGATGTGGACGTATAAAAAGTGGTTAATTCTGAACAAACATGGATTTGAAGTCTAAAATTTCAGCACTGAGCTGTGAACACTTGGCTAAAAATTCAATTTTTTTTTTTCATTTTTTATTTTTGAATTAGTACAAAACTATAAGGACATCTTGTCAAGGCTGTTTTTATTACATATTGGCAAAAGTTCAGTGTACATTTGATTGATTTAAGTAAATGCCTGTTTAGATAAAATTTGAAAATCAAATTGATGGCAGTGGCCTTGCTTGATTAAACTCAATCCCATTTACAACATCTCTTAATTGATACAGTCAAATAAATGAGTCAACTTTAACCTGTAATATTGATAATTTTCTTGCGGAAAAATCTCATTTGTAGACAATTACAATGTGAATGCTCTAGGGACCTCCAGATAGGACTGTATATTGAATGATCATCAAGAATAACCATCAATAATAAACGAATGCTCAAAATCCTTTCTGATTAACCTTTGGAAACTGTTTCTTATTTTAAGAGATATTTGTCACTTTGTGCAATTGATAAAACTTTGGGTGAAATAAAATTAAAGGGACAGGTGGGTCATTTTTTTAAGCTAATCGGTAATAGTGTTTACAGCTAGCTCACCATTGAAATTTGAGCCTTCAAATCTATGTGTGTCCAGAATTATCTGTGTTTGAATGTTAGAATGATGACTGGTCAATTTAAGATACCCTGTGATATATAGAATTAGCTCAATTAGAAGAGAATTACCAGCAGAATTCCAATGAGTGGCCGATCAAGAAAGGTCAAAAAGACTATTTTTTATATCAAGACTGTATATACATGGACATTCATGATTGGTTACAACTCTTAATTATATGCAATAATAACATAATGATATGATTAAGAATACATAATAATTCATTAGAAACATGCATTAATCAAAATAGTTTGCTTTATTTGACACTAAAAAATAAGGAAACCCAACTTTAACAGTTGAAGTTTTAGAAGCTTAAAATCAAATATGCAAATCTTGTTAACATATTAAATTGTAAATATCAAATGCCTCAAGTGATACTGTTTTATTTCCAAGACATCTTACAAGAACAATGAACCTAACATTTAAAGAAAAGAAAATACAACAGTTATGGTATTTCCCTTCCAATTCCAGTTCAGCAGATTGAAGTCTTATGAATAGTCACGTTTTAACATTATGTCATTCATATCGCAATAATGAAGTAAAGAAAATCTGTAAATATCAGCTTAGGAATATAGAGTATTTCAGATATTCCCTCAAGGCAATTTATTATTCACTATTTTTCATTTAGCTATTTCTATGATTTCTATGATATTCTAGATTTCGGTGACATTAAATAGCCTACTCACTTACTAATTATATTACATCCGAATTTCTAAAACCCACAAATACCTAGTTTCCGAGGGCGAGGAATGGAAATGAAATGAATGGAGTTTTACGTCCTACTTATGTGCACCATGTGGGCTAATGAAGACGGGCAACAAAGTGCAATGAGGGAAATTTTGCCAAGACAGTGGCATTAGCCTGCTTTTTTTCAGTTTCCAACTGTCGAGGGATTTTTAATGTGCACAGCCTGTAGCACACGGGGCTTCAGTTTATTGTCCCATCTGAACAACTAGAGGTTTTTTCCATGTCAGCCCCTCGTACCTGCATCACTGACAGGGGGAAACCGGGTTGAAAAATCCGCAAGGTATTATCTCGAGGCGAGGAATGGAGGTTTCATTTATATACCAGTACCACTAAAAAAGTAAAGTTACATGAACTTTTATTTGGTTAGAAAGTATAATCAATAACAATTTAACAACAACAGATATCTCATCAATGCACCATAATATCTCATCATCACCAAAACCATTATTTTTGACAATTTTCATACATCTTTGGATCCCATGTATCACTCACTATTTAGCACATGAGAACATTTAGAAGGAAAGAAATAGAAGTCAGAAAATTTTTATGTGAAATTTATGCTTAAAAAAATCAAATCAGAACACAATTTGTTATACACACAAGTATTCTGTGTGATTTGTTATTAACAGTGACGATATATGGTTATTTTTTTTCATCCAATCCTTGGATGAAAACAAAAATATTGCTGTTTATCAGTGAATCATTGCAGCCCTAGTCCTGTGTTTTGAGATTGAACTCTTCATCAAGGTGATGGAGTTGTACAGTCATGAGTTTTACAATCAGATATTCTTTATATTTTTAGGTGATTCAGCAACAAGTTATGGCCGAGAGTTCTTCCTGCCTTATTTGAACTTCTGCAAAGAGGAATTATTCTTAGAAATAGTGCCAACATTTCCTGGAACTGACCACATCCAGTTGACAATAGAAGATCAGAACAATATTACTATTTATAATAACCAGATAAACCAATCAGAAGTGCTAAATATATCTTACATGGAGCTCCATGCCGGCAATACCACAGGTAATTGGATTAATGAACACAGATCTTAATGAAGGTGTTGGTCATCAGCTTAATTGGACATATCCTGTAGATAATGAATAACATTCACAGAGACAATTCAATTTTGAGCTATATGGCCACTTTGTATGATTTCTTCTTGTATGTTTGCAATTGATTTGATCCTTATTTGTCTAAATGTTTTCATTTAGGTACATACTGTAGTGGACCATACTTAAAAAAAAGGTCCATGCTTTACAAAAGGATCATACTCTGAAAAGGACCATACTTTAAAAAAGGACCATACTTGTATTTTAAAAAAAAAGGACCATACTTTACAAAAGGATCATACTTTAAAAAATAAGAATGGGTCAGATAGACCAAAACATCTGTCTCTAACCCAGCTTCTGATAGCTATTTGGACAGATGTGGACTGTTGTTGGGACAGAAAAAGAAAGCCATGTTAAAAGGGGACTTTCTGCATCTAAGCAAGCGTGGGGGTTTTACACCTATTTAGATACCTTGGAACTGCAAAACCCATATATATTTGGAAAGATTAATATTTTTTTCTCCCTACACCATTTATGTCACGTCTCCGGATTTGCTCTAATAAAAAAGGAAGAGTGTGATTTTTGCCCTACAAAATCAAGAACAAATTATATGAAGGTCTTAAGTTAACTATAATGATAGCCAAATTGTTCACCAAATTGAACAATTTGTGTAAAAGAAAAAAAAAGATTGTGCTATGAATTAATAGAGGTTTCAAGATCTTTTTGAGTTCTGATTTCAATTAAAAGTGTCCAGACTATTACACACAAGATGGAATTGAAATCCAAAGTTCTTGTGTCCAATTTGCCATTCCTATTGATCAGGAAAATTCAATTGACATCATGGTATTCTTAGTCTAGACTCTTTTTTTATTCCTTTGTTAAAAGAACTTGGTCTTCTTCACTATAATTCCGTGGAATAGGTCAAAAACGTCACTTTGTGGAATAATATAATTTAAAGCTGATGAATTCTATAGATATGACCTACTGGAAGTGATATACTGCTCTTGAGTTGGCTTAAAATATGTCTTATATCATTTGTTTTGATGGGTCGTGAGAAATATCAAAATTTATGAGACTCTAAGGAAGGTATCGTGGGTGACCGCTTGTAACCTTGTATATGCCATATTTGGTCATTTTGAGTTTTTGGTACCGTTCAAAAGCTGATACAAGCGTGGATCTTGTGGATCAAAACCTCTTATTCTTAGCTTGTTTGTCAATAACTAAAAAACCACTAACTAAATAACATGTATATAAATAGTCAGATTTAAAACCTTATAAAATATTATATTATACGAGATTCAATGTTCCCTTGTCTGCCGATGAAAACGAAAAACCTCATATACTGTACTATTATACGAGTTATTGGTTGAATAGGTCGGAGTACTCAAATTGCTATACAAGGTCTAAGCCTTTTAATCCTACCAGCCATGTAATTATACACCTCGGCTGATACCAAGTGATGTCATATGACATGTTATATGAAGTTGTATTTCAATAACGCTAAAAGGTAGTGCAAAGAGTTAAGGTTCCATGAAAACTTTACTTTATATGAGGCCACGATTATAAATTCCATTTATTCAAAATGATACAATTTTGACATATTATTCTGGTCAAGTTTTTCTGGTAATCCTGAAAAGCTGTATAGAATTGATGTAATTTAAAATGATATGACATCTAACACAGTATAGATTTATATGAATACAAAATTATGTTGCAACAAAATATCCTATTAAGATTGAAACAGAACATCCACAGAGCAATAAAATAATGAAATCGGCAGACAATTTTCAGGGTATGGAAATGAAAAGCCAGAAATAAAGAAAAATTTATATTAAGCATTTTCAAATGGCAAGACTAACAGTATTTGCACTAATAGAAAAACCAAAACTGCATCACAATGCTACACAAGGAAAAAACCCTTGTATTTCTTAAAAGTATTAGTTAAAATCACCATTTTAAGGAGTAAATAAAACTAGGATAACTAACACTATTGGCACTAACAGAAAAACCAAAACTGCATCATAATGCTACACTAGGATAAACCCTTATGTATATTGAAAGTATTAGTTAAAATTCCCAATTTTTCAGGAGCATATTAAGTAAATAGTGTTTATATGTTATCATGTGTAGTTATCATTGCAAAGTAATACTAATATTCTACATTCTGTTATGTCAATTCAAATTTAATATACCAACAAACTTGTGAAGATCAAACACCTTTCTTCCAGAAACTTTACAAATCTAGTTGAGAAAGAATCTTTTGAGCTTGATGAGGCTTTTCTTTATTATTGAAATGAAATGGAGTTTTACATCCTACTTTTCTGCACCATGTGGGCTAATGAAGTCACCATGCAGAGTGCAATGAGGGAAATTTTGCCAGGACAGTGGCACTAGCCTGATCTTTTTCAATTTCTTTCAACTGTGGAGGGATCTTCAACTTGCAAAGCCTGCAGCGCACAGGTCCTTGGTTTATTGTCCCATCCAAACGACTAGACGCTTTTTCCATATCTGCCCCTCTTACATCACTGACAGGACAAAACGGGTTTGAAAAATCTGAAGGAATTATCTCGACTTATGTTCTTTTTTATTGACAAAATAATCTTGAAACCAATCAATCCAGATATCAAAATTCCAAAAATAAAAATTCTAAAGACTTTGCAAAATATAACCGAAGATTAAAAATGCCAATTACAAAATAAGTACACTTAAGCTTATAGAACCAAACATAGTGACCTGTGTTTTACTGAAAAGCTTTCCAGCAGTAATGCCCCTAAACAAACTTCTTCTAACAAACCAGTGATCCTAACCTAAAATATAGAACCTGTCAAACTTTAGCAGAGATATGAGCTGAAATAGACCAATATCTGAAGATTGGAAAACTAAAAACTGCATTTTGAATTTGTTTAATATATTTTAGCACATTTCTTCCGACACCTTTAACCATTGTTAACTTCTCTTGCAGGTTTAAAGATGAAAACAACCAAACCAGTATCTGTATATATCAAGAAACATAAAGGAGATATGACAATGGTCTTTCCTACTAATGTTCTCAACACCCAATATGTTCTTCCAAATTTCTCAAGTATTAATGCTTTTGACATTTATCATGTGATAATGTATGCAATAAACCCGGATACAACGATAAACTTTGATGGCAATATGTGTTTTCATATACTCGCTACACATGCGAATGACAACACAACACAGACCTACGATATTGTGTGTGGGTTTTCTAATGTGTCTGAAGACGACAACACATCAATGCCAAAAGACAATTCCATGAATACAATTGGTTTGAACTCTTACGAAATGGTTATTTTGGAATCAACCACTTTAGATGCAGTGGTCAATATGACCTCAGACAAGTTATTTGGTGTGCTATTACTAGTGCTAGACAATGAAAGTGACTCCAATGACTCCTCTTGTGTTGACATGAACATCCAGACATTAGAGTCAATACCACCAGCATCTTCAAATGGAAAACATTTTTATTTTTCAAAATTTGAGCAGCAAACAAATTTAACGTTTCATATAACAGGTAAGTATTCATTTATTAATGATATACACATAAACAATTCAAATCTAGACGACTCTCCTCCTCATCCATGATCTGATTAATTTGTTTTGTTTCTCCTGTTCTGGGTCATTTCATATCAAATTGTCTAACCACTTTTAAAAGTAGCATAAATTGTGGCAAATTTTGTGGTAATAGTAAGTACTGATGTTGAGGGGATTTAGGCAATTGTTTATAGTGCAATATGGATGTTGAAGCTATTTTGTTTTTATGAAAGGGTTTCAAAAGATTATTTCTAATTCCAATGGGTGTGTTTTGGTGAAGCTTATAGTCTATTCTTATTCTTTATGCACAGTGCAATTTTTTTTTTTTTTGTCATTTCAAAAATTCCCATATCGTTTGTCTTCCAGCCTATCAAAAGTGTAGATTTTTTTTTCATATCTGAAATCCTCTCATAAATTATACACTTTGAAATGAAACCTATTTTGGACATAAAATTTAAAATCAGATTTTAAAAGATAACATTCAATTATTGTAAAAAGAAGTATTTAAAGTGATATTACGTCCAAAAAACTTAGTAATTATCCATAAATATGCAATCAACTATTGAAAACGCTTAATATCAAGATTAAGCGTTTTTCAATAATTACTTAGTTTTATGAATTTTCCAGATTTTATAGGGATTCTGTTGTAACTTTATGACACCAGGTAAACTAACTGATGAATATATACTCATTTGACCAATACGAGAACTTAAATTTTAAGTTCATTCTAAAACGTATCACGTTAACAAAATGCGATTCTGAAATCACTGGCGTCATGTTCCATCAAACGGTCTTATTAATAGTTCCTTCAATTTTAGCAAAACTTGATTAGAAATCGGAATGTTTCGTTCAGAATTGATCAGTATAAATTGATATAAATAAATCTTCTTTGAATTCCCATAAGATGCGAGGTGTCTTATGTTATTATGTTATGTGACACATTGTACAACAATATAAATCAAACTCACCAAATACATAATGATGTTTCTTCAGCTTCATGTATTTCTGTTTATTGATAGAGAATTTTAGTCTATGACAATTATGTCCTCACAGTATATCAAACATTTGATCCAGTACTAAGTCACCTCCAAAAGTGCACAGTTTATTTTTTGTTAAATGGTTATTTCACAAAGTTTTAAAAAAGTTTCACAAAAATATTCCACCATGTTTGTTTACATGAGCTTTCAAGGCTATTACATATCACGTGATCCACATATGCACGTGCAGAAGGTTAAATTGGGTCAGTTAATATTTTGGCCGTATTTGATTAACTATACTTAGTGATCTATGATTCATCGTTCCTTCATTGACCGAGTTCGATTGGTATTCAATTTAGCGTGTGTTCGACTGATGTAATTAGTGAATTTTATTGTAAATTGTTGTTATTGTAGTTGCGATTCCTTTTTTTGTACGAATACCTTTATATATTGTCTGTTGCTGGATGGAGGCAATTCAGTTATTTGTTGAAAATATCAAAGAATCGTAGAAATTATTTTATTCACCAAGATTAAAATAATACTGATGAATGGGTTCATTCATAAGAAGAGAACGTAATTGGTAAAGATCTACTAACTTCTCTACTTTTAATAATATACTTTCACAAAACGCTTTGTCTCTTTTTTTTTTTCTCTGGTACGATTCATTCAGTAGAAAACAACAAAAACGCGTCGAAAACTTTTTGCTTTATTGAACTTATGAATATAAGGGAACAAAAAAAAGTGTTTCTCGGATTTACTGTCTCAGTATATTGAATACGTGATACCTACCAAATTAATTTCTTATTGTGCGACTAAAACACATTTATAAGATTCAACCGGGCATCCCTGGGTTTAATAAAGACTTTGAATCAGACATAGACAATCGTGTAATTAATTAGTAGTCTACATGTCTCTGTTTACCGAATCCATAGAAAGCAACGACCTAGACATCAGGGATCGGTTGGAGTTTGTCCATGCTGGTTTCCAATCCGGAAATTTTTCAGAAATGAAAAGTAACAGGGAGAGCGAATGCTACATACTTTAAATATGTATCTGTAATTGCAAATTTTCCTCTGTATGATAACGACCAAGCGTTTGCTTCATTGTCAACTAAAACTGATTCCCGGCGATTCCTGACTGGTCTATACGGCCTAGGGCTTTTACAAGTAACCCGCTTATTGTCATTAACTTATAAAATTACTTAGTTTTCATCCCTTTCAAATGGCATGAGTTCTACCGATAAATCATTTGATGATTTAGTATCCAATTGCGTTTTACTGTGATATTAATTTCGAATTTAATACAAAGAAGAGATCAACCTTGGAAAATAGGATACGTCTTTATATCTACAATTATATTGTTTTACATTATAAAATGACATATAATTTTAGGCTAGAAATCGGAAAGGTATGGGAAACTAAAGCTAAGACGCTATTGCTTGATAAAGTCGAAACCATCATCGTCGAAAAGTCGCAAGTTATTTATTACAGTAATTGTTATCCATATAATGTGTCATACCCCTAGTTACTAAATGCCACTCAAGGAAGCTAGGATAGTATCATTTTGAGTATAAAATCATATTGTATTAAAACAAATTTCCGGCATCTTGCAACTTCAAAGGAGGCCTTGAGTGATCATTGCCTATATCTGAAATACACTAAATGGGTTAAAATATAGCTAATTATACGTTGTAAGTGGTTTGTATTATTGCAAAAGTCTAAGAGTTAAAAGAAAAAAAATACGTTTTATAGTTAATTAGAAATTTAGACAATGTTAAATACGATGATTGTTTTTGTGGTCCTAGTTTGAAATTTAAGAAGCTAATCTTGTGAATGTAATTTGAGTCTGACGTTGCTTCAAGGGTTATAATTAACTAAAAAAAAATAATTACCAGACATATGCTTATAAATTATTCAATGTTGAAGGGGTTTCATTTATTTTCAGCTAGATCAATTATGAACTTCATATTTTCTTAAGTTATTCTTAGGGACAATATGGTACGTGTACAATATACTACTGAAGGTGGGATAAGATAAAAATGCGATGGATCCATTGAGGTACTTTGAATCGAACGTCGACCTGAACCCATATTGACGTACCGACACATTACATAATAGTCTCCGCTTGTTCCGGCTTCCTTGATAGTGTTTCGTCATAAATAATTTTTTGATGCCAATTTGAAGGATTTCGTCTGGTAAGGATGTCTGGACATTTATCCTACCGAATGAAAATGTCCGTCTATGACTTATAAACAGTGGCGGAGCCATGGGGACACTGAATACAGAAATTCATATTCCACTAATTATTAGTTAACTTCATTATTAGTTCATTGCTTGGGAATATATTGTTTCACAAGAATATTAAACCTTTTCATCTGTATAGCCTATAGGTTTTTAATTCAGTAGAGTATATGTTCATCTGAACTTTATAATTCAGCGTCTGAAAAAGCTCATTTACCATTGTCATTATACACGATGTTATACCGTAACATTTCACTAGAGACGTTATAAATTCAGCAAACTTAATCTTACGGATCTTTGTCCTCTTTGTTTTTATTCAATTTAAATATATTTTGATTTTGAATATCATATGTAAAAGGTTACGCATTTAGATATATATATGTAAATTATATTAATATTATTGCCAGACAGGGTCACAAGGTATGGGTTCTTAAGAGAATTGTCGACAGATTTTCTTTGCCAGATTTGTTTTGCTGTCATAAATATTCTGCTTATCCGATATGGAATATTCCAGGTTATAACACCTTTATGTAAATTATTCTGGCCGATATACCAGACGAGGACAAAGTATATCTGGTCCCTGTGAAATAACTAGGGAGTTTATAAATTAAGTCACACTTGAGGTTCATTTAAAATAAATCTTGTCATATACATAAGTACTCTTGGGGATCAGTTTTGTCAATATGTAAATTATCTTAATTTTTGTATCAGACGAGGTCAAACTATATCTGGTCCCTGTGAAGTAACGGGGGGTTTTAAAGATTGAGAGACACTTGGGTTGCGTTTAAAATTAATATTCTTATATACATAAGTACTCATGGGGATTAGTTTTGTCAATATGTAAATTATCGTTGTTTTTGTATAAGACGAGATCAAGAGGAGAGGTATCCAGTAACTGAGGAAATTAGAAATTCAGGAAAACTAAGGAGAATCGGGCGTTGAATGTTAATACTTCACAATAATTTTCACGGCCCAGCAGTTGGTATAGCATGTTTCCTAAGCAATGGTACCATGATCGAAGTACCGTTGCTAAAGGAACATACTGATGTGGCAAATTGTTTTCCTTTAATACATTGTATCAAACGTAATGTTGGATTCTTGAATGCTAATCCATTATATTTTAATCTCTTTTTTCAGGCCTTGAAGATGGAACAATTAGCATAGAAACTGACCAATCATCTTCTGAATTATACCTAACGTCCAACGAAACCCTTCACTGTGACTTCCAAGCAGCCAAATACGTTTCATTAAGGGCATTAATTCCGGTACAAGTGCACGTTTCGACCGTCGTAGTAATTACGGATACGCAGGAGTATTTAATCAACGATTTTTTCCTTCCTGCACACGAACAGTTCTTACGTTGCTCTGTGAACGATACGTGTATATCAGTGTGTCCCAATGTTATTAACGAGACGGTTCTGAAGTCGTCGGTTCAAATTTTACAACATACCTTTCTTGATGCAAGTAATTCTATCTTCTCAAATGTGAAATCAGAAATAACTGAACACAAATCAGACAATTTGATACTGCAAAAACTGTGGACAAATCATTCATTTGTGTATATTACTTGTAAATCTGAAACAGGGAGTGTATACCCAGTTGCTACTGGGGTGAACAAACTATACGCTGCTTGTGTTCGAAATTCGAATCCCATTGTGGCTGGCGACGGACTAGACAACGATTGCGATGGGCTCATTGATGAAGAAACGGACAACGGCGTGGATGATGATGGCGATTCGCTTGTAGACGAAGATACTCTTCATAAGTGTGCGGTGCATCAAGAAATGACGTCTTCACATTCTATGAGGATGGCGAATGTGGAAGTCACGAAACGTGAACCACGACTAGAGGACATTCCTATAGACGTCACTGATTCCGCAATGCCTCTAATTGCTGTGGTTTTATCTCTTTCAGTGGCCATATTCGCTGTATTTGCGGTGATTTCAATATTCATGTTCTTGGAATTAATGTCTCGACGTAAACAACTTCGTAACACTAAAATACGACCATTCGTGTCTTGATGATTATCGGAACTCCTTAAATTTGATTGTTTTCCACCACTGTTACAGTCATGTATTAGGAAAGGAATTTATTTGCTCAATTGATCATAGCTATGATTAGTACTAGTAGTATACAGAAGATTGATGATGGTGCTCTAACCAGATATATAGTCAGTAATCGGCAAGAGTCATTTGACCACTGGGTGTCATTTGGTCCGGTGGTCTCGTATTAGTGCGTTGGGCAACCTTCAAGGGATCACAGTACGTAAATGACTAGAAAGTTGTGTAGTGATTTTGTGAAAAGAGTCAATAATAACCGCCTGCCGACTTAGATGAAGTACGGTTACCGACCTCATTGATTAAGTCGTCGTGAAAGTTAGAAATCTGCCAAGATTGCTTTTCCATTTATCCAAGATGGTCAATAAAAAGATATTAATCTATTGATTTCGGCTCATCGAGGACAAATATACTAGTTGTTAGCAATGTTAGTGATACTTGACGAAGGGCAGTTCGTTTTGTCATTCCAGATTAAGCTCTTCAAGTTAAAATTGTTTACAAACTAGAGAACCAAACAAACTCTGGTGCTCACTATTTCATAGATTTCAAGCCTGATTATCTGTAAACGCATCAGTATGCCTCGAATAAGTGGCATCATTTTTTCCATTAAGTTTACTTTAAGAATCAAAAGCACTCAGACCCCAATAATTCAAGATACGATGTGTCAATGTTATATTGCAGGAATGACGAAGAAAAAAACAGGTCAACGCGCGGTTCACAATAAGTATTACGACCACCTTTCTGTAAGTGTGATATTCTCCATATACAATTGCATAGTAAGATGATTTGAGAAATGGAATAACAACAAAATGTGCCATATCTTAATAACTATATGCCCTTTTTCAAAAATTGTTATTTGTCAAGATATATTCTGTGTAGTGGGCACCTTTGTTGATAGTATTAAAATAAACATCAATTTTAACATGTTACTGTGGCGTTATCAGTTTTGAATTAGTTTCACATAGCTCTAAGTCTGTACTTCATTTTTGGTGGTGTGACATTTTTTTAAAAGGATGTGTGTTTATTGAAACGTAAAATTACAATTCCCAATATTAATCAAATAAATTTGAAGAATTAAAAAAATATTAAAAAGTGATTACTTTTGACCTATTCAAATATTCCACAATAATGGTAAAGTTAACGATTTCATTATCTTAGTTGTTTATAGTCATATTTTCAGTATTTTTCACCCACCATTTTTGAGTGAAAATTCTTTTAAAATTCACTCCTTTAGACAAAATTTATATCTATGGCATCAAATTATTTTTTATCAAAGCCCCTTGACGATTGCAAAAGGCAGGAAGGCAAAACGAAGTCTCCCTCTTTAGCTGAACAGCATCTCTCATCAACTGTCTCCTGATTTCAGATTAATAGATCTTCTTTATACATAGAAACGGCGTATTGTGATTTAGTAGATTATAAGTACCATAAATAACGATGTTCAAACATTTCTTCCGTGTATATATTATCTGTATTAATAAATTTCATCCCACTTGTACATAACTTTGTCTAAATCGGATCTTTATTGTTTATTGTCCCATCCAAACGGAACGACTAGACGTTTTTTTCCATGTCAGCCCTCTTAATTTCAGGTGCATCCGGGACATTTATAGGCCTTTTCTGCTGCCTATAAATTTCTTTCAACAAACCTCTAATGTTGATCAACTTATGCACACGTCTAAGAATAACAATATTCTTCCAGGGCAGATGTTGGAATCAATCCGTACCGAAAACTTTAATCAGTAGCAACAAGATCTCGACGAGTAGATTGGGATTACACCAATCCAGTGCTTCTACAGGGAATCTTATAGCACCTTATACCAAACCATACCCGTGCGTTCAATTCACAACTTCGAATGGTTCTTCAGGAGTACGGAGCATCAGAATTTACAATGCCATTTTTAAATTATAATCAATTATATCACAGATATTACGGGGTCTGTATTTTCTCAAAACAGAATACTATTATCGTGTTCTTTTTTAACATTGTTTATTCAAATTTAAAGTTGTCTGTTTCTTATATAAGCCCACTACTGTCAATTAAAGGTTATCACAAATTGCTCAGCATTTTATCAAATATTTTTTTCGTGGTACAACTAGTAACTTCAGGAAATCTCATCAATCCATCGTTGGAAATCCAAGCCTATTGGGTACTCACAAACTCTTCCTAATGCGTGAAGAGTAGCTCAGTGGAACATCATCGTTGTATCGTTGTTTCCATACAAAGCATATTGCTATTGAAAGGCATTAGGGAATGACATGCTGATATTATTCATTATGTAATTAATTATGTATTGCTAGTAAATGAATTATGATATTTGTCATACAGTTGTTTACTGAAAAACTATCCAGTGTGATGACACCGATGTTGATTCATTTCATGATGCATATTCCATGTAACTACTACTACTGAGGCCCTGTTTGCTTCGAGAATTTCACTCTAGGATTATATTTAAAGAGAAGGAGGCTAGAACCGCTATACTGGCGATATTGTTATACATGGCTAACTGCATAGTCCGTCCGAGACCAAAAAGGAGCATTATAAAAACCAACTCTATCGCTACTCCACAATGTTACGTTCCTTCTTGATTTCAAAGACAGGAGGATTTTACATTAAATAAAATGCACAAGGCTAGGGTTACTACGTTTGACTTGAACGGCATGAGCACTAGTGATAATTAAAAAAGGAGTCATATTATGTTACTGTGAATAAAGGATGTTATTGAAAAAAGACCCTGAACGAATATAATCCAAATGTCTAAAATTGATATTGAGATGAATCCGATAAAGTCGCATTCCGATAATCCATAGCCATTTACGTCACACTGCAATATATTTGACTAATTGTGTATATTCATATCTTGAAAGCTATCGGAAAATCACACGGTTGCAGTGTTGAAATATTGACATTTCCATTATCCTACAAACGATTCAATATTAATTTAGTTATTTCAGACAATATCACTGTGAATTTCAATAAATAAACAGTTTTAACTATTGTATATTACTGATTAAAAGCTTATGTCACAATTTTAAAGTGATATACCCTGGAATTGTAGATGCTTGATGAAAAGAGTGCCTGGTGGGGTTTAAGGTGGCAATAAACAATGTACGGTGTCGGCGCAGCGTACGGGGCGGGATTATCGATTCAGTAGAAAATCGAATTGTGTCCACACCCCGATCATTTCTATTATTTTCAATTATCCCGCATCGTACACTGCACCATACCTCTCTATTCACGGTTGACAGATATGAAGAGTCGTGCAATGATGTATTTATGGACTTTTGGATGTGGTGCAAAACATAAATATGGACAGTTTTTTTTTCTTTTTGAACAAACTTAAGGTCTTTGATTAATTTTGTCAAACTTATATTTATTTCCAAAACGAATCATTTCCAGTACGTACAATGGCCGCTGTGATGAGTAAATGTGTACAATTTCGGCCTGAATCCTTCTATTTGACAGTTTTGCAACACGGAATTGGCTTACGCGGAGATGAAGCGTTGCTCGGGTGGTCTTGTCCAAACTTATCTGAGATCAAGTTTAAACATAAACTTTCCATAAGGTGAAAAGCAGCACATTTAAACGCATAAATATGCATTTCAGAATCCAACTTAAACTGCTGTAATCAAGTGTTGATACAACATTTCAATAAATGTCAATAGCAACAGTATAAATAATAAATACACCTATTGTTGATTGTACATGGAGTTATGAGATATTTCTAAATGTTATGAGATAGGTCAATATGTGTAAAAAATATATGACAAAAAATATATGATAACACACACAGAGTTAATAGGTACAGAAAACACATCAATGATTCTTACTATTTTTCTTAACATTCTTTTTTCTCATTTATTAATTAAATCAGCTGAATAAAATAAAGTAATGTATGAAGATGGGCATCACTAATTAATATTTCCCAAAGTCCTATTGGTGGAAAATCTGTTAGTTGAAACTGTGCTGTTGAGAAAAAGGAAAAGTGTTCATTTTGGACAATATGTGACGAGAACCCTCATTGAGGGTATCTGTGATGAGAGTGTTCATTGAGGACACCTTGTCAAGAGAGTGCTCTTTGAGGACAAATTCTTAGGAGAGCATTTATTGAGGACAATCTGTGAAGATAACGCCCGTTGAAAACCATATGTTAAGACATCGCTTATAGAGGACAATATTTCATTATTCATTACGGACGATCTATGAAGAGAATATTCATTGTGGACGATCTATGAAGATATTATTCATTGAGGACGATCTATGAAGAGAACATTCATTGTGGACAATCTATGAAGAGAACATTCATTGAGGACGATCTATGAAGAGAGTATTCATTAAGGACAATCTATGAAGAGAACATTCATCAAGGACAATCTATGAAGAGAACATCCATTGAGGACGATCTATGAAGAGAACATTCATTGAGGACGATCTATGAAGAGAACATTCATTGAGGACGATCTATGAAGAGAACATCCATTGAGGACGATCTATGAAGAGAACATTCATTGACGACGATCTATGAAGAGAATATTCATTGTGGACGATCTATGAAGATATTATTCATTGAGGACGATCTATGAAGAGAACATTCATTGAGGACGATCTATGAAGAGAACATTCATTGAGGACGATCTATGAAGAGAATATTCATTGAGGACGATCTATGAAGAGAATATTCATTGAGGACGATCTATGAAGAAAATATTCATTGAGGAAGA